GGGGGCGGCGCCCCCCTTCCTTCTCTCTCTCCTCTTTCCCCCTCCTGAATCATATTTCAACTAGGAAAGGGGGGAATCCTACTCCCGGTGGGAGTAGGACTCCTCCTGGCGCGCCCTCCTCCTGGCCGGCCGCACCCTCCCTTTGATCCTTTATATACGGGGACAGGGGGCACCCCTAGACACACAAGTTGATCCACGTGATCATATTCTTAACCGTGTGCGGTGCCCCCTTCCACCATAGTCCTCGATAATATTGTAGCGGTGCTTAGGCGAAGCCCTGCGACGTTAGTACATCAAGATCGTCACCACGCCGTCGTGCTGACGGAACTCTTCCCCGACACTTTGCTGGATCGGAGTCCGGGGATCGTCATCGAGCTGAACGTGTGCTAGAACTCGGAGGTGCCATAGTTTCGGTGCTTGATCGGTCGGGCCGTGAAGACGTACGACTACATCAACCGCGTTGTGCTAACGCTTCCGCTGTCGGTCTACAAGGGTACGTAGATCACACTCTCCCCTCTTGTTGCTATGCATCACCATGATCTTGCGTGTGCGTAGGAAATTTTTTGAAATTACTATGTTTCCCCAACATGCACACCCTACCGTGATTTTTCTATGTTTCATTTACAGAACCCCAGCCAACCTACCGCTAGCCGGTTGGCGGTAGGGTTGCACTGCGTACTGCAAAGTTTTTCCCCTCCCTAATTACAGTACGGGTATGGGGGTTTATGGGGTTTTCGTGCCCACCCTACCGCCAGTGGCGGGGGCGGTAGGGTTTACCTACCTTTCTGGTGGTAGGACGTTTAGTCCACGTCAGCCCAAGCCACGAGATGATGGCCACTGTCGTTAAACCTACCGCCAGGGGCCTCGGCGGTACCGCCATCAACCCCGGAGGTAGGAAAAGAGACAGATCTCAAAAAAATGAACCAGGGTCAAATCTGGCTTAACTTTACAAAAAGGGTCAGAACACCAAATTTGGCCGCTCTGGGTGGGGGAGGGCGAGGCGCCCCAGTCGCCTAGGGAGGGAGTGACGTGGGCGTGTTTCTGTCTGGGCAATTATTGGTGTTTCAAATGTGTAATTTTATTCATGAGAGTAGAAGTAGAAATTTTGAAGAAGACAATTAAGCTAATGTTTTGTTATTTTTGGCACTGGGTAGACATGTCTCGATGCTGCAGCCACATGATATTGTAAAAATACCTTTGGACCTCATTGATCAATAAAGCAATACCATTTCCCCTAAAAAAGACTACCAACAGAGTTTCGTGCTCTATGTGACTGCCAAATTATAGGCAAGATCCTCATCCTCCATCTTATTACACAATCCTGTCATACAATAGACATTAGTTATCATCTATTCATCTGACCCATACAGGGAGACAACAAGATTACAATTTGTTGGAGAAAAACTTATTTCAAGAAAATCCCCATTTCGAATCGCTGTCATACATGAAATCAATGTCAGAGTACATGTTAGTTTTAGGGTGAATTGAACACTTACAGTTTCAGAGCAGGGCGCCTGGCGAGTTCCTTGAGTGATCCCTGAGTGAGCGGCAGAGTGGGCCCTTGTTTCCTTGAGGCTAGGGTGGTCATCGGCAGCGGGCGGCCCAGACGCGGGGATCCTCCACGGCGATCCTCGTCGAGCCTGTGCGGCGATAAGTGGCTGGTTGAGCAGTGTGCGTGCGTGAAGATGAGCACTCGAGTTGGGATGGGCTATTAACTGAAAGTAGATGGCCATTACAACCTGATACAAAAATGATTGCCCTTTTAGTACGTGGGGGTGGTGGGATGATTTTTTCTTTTCTCAAGTCAGGCTATAAATTGATCTAGTTTTTATTTATTTTGTATATGGCCTCATGAAGTCGGGGATTAAGTTTCTTTTTTGCTTGTGTCGAAGTGTCCCTTTGTCCTTTTTCGAGAAAAGTGAGCCAAAGGGCATCATTTCCTTTTTCTTGGGCGTGGGAGGTTGTGGTTGTTTGAAAACAGAATGTGAGAAATATGGTGGGACCGAAGAGCAGGTTACCCGCAATGTTAGATCTTACCCATTAAATCATCTAATTAATTTCGATGATGTGGATCAATATGGTGGTTCATGCGGAGCATCAAATTATAGTACATATACCTGCCAATAGTGTGAAACCTATCCTTACATTGGTAGTAGAATTTTAACTGATAAGTCTTGCTATTGTGTATCATTATTTCTGCAGGCTGACCCCCGAAAAACGCCCGGAAGATACATTAATTGCGAAGTATTCACTATGCATGACCTTGTGCATGACCTCGCAAGATCAGTCATGGTTGACGAATTTAACTTGGCGGGCCCCAACTGCCGCTATGCATGGCTCACAGAATGTACGAAGCCACTTAAGTCATTCACAACTTCACCTGAAAAGCTAAGGGTGCTACATAAGGTGCAACATGACTCAAGGCCGTATCAGTTCCATCGTGATGCATATTCACCAGCTAAGCACGCCCGTATCTTAGATTTAAGCAGAGCCAAGTACCATGAGTTTCCAGATTCTATTGGTCGGTTGAAGAAACTGAGGTATCTTAGTGCCCCATATCTCGGTTATGGAATGAATCTTAGGTTTATCGGTATGCTCCGAGATTTGAATTATCTCAACCTTCATCAGTGTGATGGTATCTCATCATTGCCTGAGTCAGTTGGTGAAATGAAAGGTCTGATGCATCTTGAATTATCATGTTGTGGCAGTCTAAAAGGACTCCCACATTCGTTTTCAAAGCTCAGAGAGTTGGTATATCTGAACTTAGCATACAGTTGCGCTGTTTCAGGAATACCCCAAGCATTAGTTGGCCTTACCAAACTCCAACACTTGGAATTATCACATTGTGAAAATCTCAGAGGGCTGCCAGAAGTCATCGGCAATCTCACTGAACTTCGCTATCTGAATCTATCAGGGTGTATGCATCATATCTTTGACAGCTCATCAACAGGTCAAACGGAGAGTTTCATTCACCGTATCTGTACCCTTCCCGATATGGAACACCTGGACCTGTCTTTTACTGGCCATCCTCTTATTAGTATACCAGAAAGTGCTAGCTGCCTCCGGAAGCTGGTCCTCGAAGAGTGCAGCCAAATTGCTAGGCTTCCAGAATGTGTGGCTAAAATGGATTGTCAAAGACTTTGGCTTGTTGCCAATATTTCCTGTAACTGCCGATGATAGTAAATGTTACAGCAACCTTGGCTTGCTTGAGCATGTAAATCCTGACAAGCTGTACATCAACAAACTTGAAAATGTGAAGTCCCGAGAAGAGGCACACAGTGTAAAACTGATTGAAAAACAGAGGATTGAAGAATTGTTATTAAGTTGGTGGAACCCAGAAGCTAAGAGATCTGTGGATGACATGGAGTTGCTGATGGAGCTAATGCCACCAACCTCTTTGCAGAAGTTTCGGATATCTCGTTATATTAGTGCCAGCTTTCCAGACTGGCTAATGAGTATTGGCAATTATCTGCCTAATGTTGTCCTAATGGAGATGTTTGATTTGCCCAACTGCAACAGTTTTCCACCCCTCGCCCAACTACCACCAAACCTCCGGGTGCTTACTCTGGGAGGCATGGAAAGCCTGGAAGAATGGAACACGACACACTCTATTGGTGAGGATGAGCTCATGTTCCGTGAGCTTGAGGAAGTGAATATATATGATTGCCCTAAGTTGAGGATAAAACCACACCTTCCTAGAGCTGCATCTTGGAGTATAAAGGGAAGTGATAATGTGCTCATATCATGGGCAGAGAGCGTGTCACACAATGATGCTCCATCATCTACTCCGGTAGGAGTGTCTACTAATCTGACAGTTGAAAACGAGGAGGTGCCTTTGCATCAGTGGAGATTGCTTCACCATCTACCTGCCATCAGTGATTTGCACATCGAACGTTGCTGTGATTTGACAAGCTCACAAGAGATCAGTTGGGCCCTCGGGCCCCTCCAATCACTGAGATTGGAGAGCTTGGTCCAATCAGAACTGCCCGGATGGGTAGGAGAGTTGTCATCTCTTCAGCAACTGGTGATAACGCACTGCAGGAACCTAGAGGAATTGCCCGATATCATGAGCCAACTCAAACAGCTGCAAACATTAGCAGTGGTTATGTGTGATAGCTTCAGACAGCTGCCGCTGTGGTTGGGAGAACTTACGTCTATCGAGAAACTTCGAATTAGGCTCTGTCCTGCTATCACGACTTTGCCAAACAGCATACAACAGCTCACGAATCTCCAAGAATTAGAAATTCTGGGCTGCCGTAAGTTAGAACAGTGGTGTGAAGCAGAGGAGAATAAGCCGAAACTTGCTCACATAGAACAAAAGGTATGTGCCCTGCCATATATAGAACGTATTCCATCATCGGCAGTACCACATTTTTTTTTCTGCTCTTCACTTCACTGATGATATTTTTCTAAGAAAAGAAACGCCTGGATATTCCATGCCCTTTGCCTCACGATTCTTCCTTTTTGCCCAAATGATAATATTGACTTCCTATATTTTATATTTGGCAGAGGCTCTATTTCGGCCCGAGGAGGGCTGCCATTCCCGCCAGCCGCCGATGATCCCCACTACGGTGGCCCTTGCTGCGAACGAAAATAAGAAAGTGATGCTGGAGAAAAGAAAGCGGAGGCGCGAATCAGGATTTTGGCTGCTCGATCGAGTCGGTTGAGCCCTCGTCCATTTGATTCAAAACTCTGTAGTAATTACTACCACGCGGCTCCAACCTTCTCCTGGTATGTGTAAATGTACATGCCCTGAATTAAAAATCTCTAGCGTATTCCAAGCAGACATATAAGAAATCGAAGTGTGGGGATAGTTGCATGTTACCTTCGTCAGTAGATATTGTGCTACTTTGTTATCTGCTTCACTTGACAAAGAAAATGTGACCCACTCTCTCGGAAATAGTGCTTTTCCTTTGGTTATTTGCTCTGTAGTCATAGTTGGTAATAGTCTGAACCTCTTACACTGACGATCCCATCTTCAGAGCAATGTATTCTTTCTGGTTTTATTGGATAGGAGGAATAATGAAACCTAGTTAAGCCAACATGGCCTGACAGGGTTTGAAACATAGCTGTAAAGCAGGGCTGAAACAGGGCAGTCCTTAGATTAGTGTTTGTGACACCCTGCTTTCATTCTGCATAACCCTGTGTGCCTGTGTCGTTATCTTGGTCCACGTTACCGCAACCAAATCGGCATGAGGCTCCAGTGGAACGTCTAAAGTGGGGTACATCTGAAATGTCGCATTGAACCTCGCGGAAGCACTCCATTGGGTGGACCGAGACCGACGCATCCTATTCGGTTGCATATATTGGGGTAGATTGATAAGAAGGATGTTCTTCGCTCTGCCACTCTTTGGAGCATTTGGTCTTTACAGAACCATATTTGCTTTCAGGGGCGTCCGTCTCCTTGGTGAAATCTGAAGTGCGTCTTGGGGAGGATGAGCCTGTACTGTACTGTACCTGCATCAAGGAGGATCAAAGGGCAGGGCAGGGATATTTGCATATTACCTTCCGCAGTAGATATTTGTTATCTACTGGAGGCCTCATCACCGCCAAGCTTACCATCGCCAACTACCTTCTGTGGAGGGCTCAGGTTCTTCCTCCCCTACGCATCGCGGGAGCTACTGGCTACGTTGACCGCACCCTTCCTGCCCCTGCTCCGCTCCTGGACGCTGACGACAAGGGGGTGCGTGATCCAAATCAGGAGTATGCTAACTGGTACCGCTAGGACCAGATCGTTCTCAGCTATCTCCTTGCCTCTCTCTCCGACGACGTTCTGTAGCAGGTGCATCGGTTTGACACCTCTCACGCCATCTGGGTGCATCTCGAGGAGATGTACAACACTTACTGCCGTGCCAGTATTGTGCAGATCAAACGTATACCAAGCAGACATAAGGAATCAAAGGGCAGGGCAGGGATATTTGCATGTTACCTTCCGCAGTAGATATTTGTTATCTGCTTCCTTGACAAAGAAAATGTGATTCGTTCTCTTGTTTAGAGTGCTTCTTGCTTATAGTTATTAGTTGTGGAGTCAGAAATGAGCTAGTTGTTTGGCCTCCTTGACTCTGCTAGTAGGTAATAGTGTGAAACGGTCTGAAACCTTGACCTGGCAATTCCATCTCGAGTGTAATGTACTCTTCCTTGTTTTGTTGATATGAGAAATTGCAAAACCTATCTAAGCCAACATGGCCTGACAGAGTTGTAAACCAGCACAGCTGTAAAGCAAGGATGAAACAGAGGCGGTCCTCAGATTAGTGTCTGATCTGATGTCACCCTGCATAACCCAAATGGACACCGCTTTAGAAGCTCGGGGTGTCCGAAACGATGCGTAAGGCCCGACGGTCCCTCACCGCATCTGCAAAGTCTGGAGCGTGCTGCTCGACGAGTGCATGTTTCAGGCCGGCCTAGGTGATGGCGAGCGATGATGTTCACTCGGAGGGTGATGAGCGTGGCATACCTGAAGCGATATCTTACGAGTTACAAGACGAGCGGACATACGATGACCCTACACTGGCACGAAGTAACCCAAGGCTATGGGAATGGATGTGCCCAGGGTTGATTCAGACATGTAGCTGAATTCCGCAGCACGTGCTAGAATTTGTTTACAGGTCCTTTGATTTCTCCTGTAATTGGAACTGCCTGAGTATTTTAGGAACTTTCCATTCATCAGTTAGTTTGATGCATGCTCCGTGTAAAAGAGTAATAGAGTGGAACGAAAGTACAGACTTGCATTCTGTAGGAAAGAACATATGGCAAAGATGAACGCCGTTCTTGTTGCTCCATCACCGGACTAGAATTCATCCACGTGCATGGATCATGTGCCCGGCTCGATCTGCTTGACCAATTTCTCAAATGAAGAGATTTACTCAAGTGAGGTGTTTCAGAGGAATTTCTGGTAAATGAGGGTAAAAAGTGTCGCAAATTCAATCTGAATCTCATGGGGCAAATCTATCATATGCTAAAATAGACCGGACATGAATCCGATCAGTGGAGCAATGGCATCAACCAACGTGTGGTATATATATCAGTGTTTTCATCTCTTCTTCTACACAGCTACAGCACGGGAAGACCAATCATACATACTGGCTGTCCGGACAAATAAAGAAGAAGAAGAAGAAAATTCAATGAATCAATATATAGCCTGTGCGCAATCTGCAGCATGTCTCTCCCTACATACATACATCGTCGTCTCGACAGTCATGACTCATGACCACGACACCATGGCCAGAACGGCGGCCATGGCCGCCAAGCTTTCCGTGCACCGCCACCTCCTCACCTATGTATAACGAAAGCAGGAGCATCAACATGGAGTAAAGTGAGATATGTCTATACATGATTCCAAAGTGGAAAACAAAAGCATTGCTTGTAAAGGAGGGCTAGCATCAACTGCACTGCTCTGGTATGCTGGCCTAGCTAGCACACGGCATGCAATGCAACTTTACTTGGTGCCCAGCATGATTGGTTGCACACTGGATGACTAGATCTATCTATCCGTTTGCTTTCGTATGTGTGAACAAATTTTGCATGGCATCTTAATTTCTGAAATCAAATAATCAAATTTGTATGCTGCTAACTTCACATACTAATCAGAAGTATCGGGCTATAGTACTATCTCCGATCCATATTATTTGTCGCTCCAACGGATGTATGTAGCACTGATTGAAGTAGCTTATTTGTCGGTAATTATTATTCAGGAGAGTGCATTATATCCTGAAAGAGTGAGCTACACTAACCAGAAAAGCTAACATTATCAAAATCATACTCTGCTTTTATTAGATATCAAATTCAGGTAGCACAGGTTAATGCATTACGACGTGTAATCACGTACCTTGTGCGTCGCATCAGAAATGGTGTAGAGTCCGCCCGGGCCGACGGCGAACCCGTCCGTCCCGGCGGGCCCTTCCCCCACCACCATCCCGACGCCACTATCCGTGCCGTTGCCATCGCCATTGCCGCTTCCCTTCAAGCCTTTGATCGTGGGCGCCTTGACGCCGACGTCGTACGCCGGCGTGCCGTCCGGCTTGAACAGCCCGTAGTGCCGCTCGGAGGCCGGCCCGGGCTTCTGGTCCTCGTTGAACAGCGCGAACACGTACACCTGCAGCGGCTCCCCGGGCGCCGCCGGCGTGCCCTTCCCCTGCGCCACCAGCCGCATCAGGTTCCCGTTGTACCTGGCCGCGTTCTGTGGCGTGGCGCCGGCCTCGTCGCCGTCCCCCTGCGACGGCCACCCGGTCTCCGACACCCGGATCTCCACCGCCCGCCCGTAGTCGGCGGCGCAGATCGCGGCGCGCACGGCGTCCACCTGCGCGTGCAGCATGTTGCCGTACCGCAGACCCGTGGCGGAGTCCACCACGGCGGCCGCGCTCGGCTCGAACAGCACGTAGTCCAGGTCCACCGTGCCCGGGTCGGCCTTGTAGGCGAAGTACGGGTACGCGTTCACGAGGAACGGCGAGCCGGTCTTGGCGAGGAAGGCGAGCAGCGGCGTGATGTAGGGGAGGAGGTCGTGCCGGAACGCGGCGGAGGAGGGCGGGAAGGAGGAGGAGAGCACGGCGAGGGAGTGCGCGGTGGTGACCGCGACCCGGGAGGTGAGGTTACACGCCGCAAGCGCCGCGTGGAGCGACTGCATCGCCGGGAGGAGGGAGCGCAGCATGGTGGCGTCGGAGCCCGTCAGCACCTCGTTGCCGACGGTGACCGCGGTGATCGACGTCGCCGGGAGGTGCGGGAGGATGTTGGTGCGGACCCAGGCCGCGGCGGCCGAGGGGTCGGAGGCCAGGCGCGGGACCATGTTGTCGGGCAGCCCCACGGTGAAGTCCACGCCGGAGCCGGCGAACGCGCTCAGCACGCGCGCGTCCGCGTCGTACAGCTTGACCTTGGTGGCGTTCAGCGCGCGGAGGAGCACGGCCGCCGCCTGCGGTGACGGCAGGTTGTCGGCCACCTGGCCGTAGTTCACCCCTAGCGCCGCGGAACCTCCGCTGGCCGCCGCCACGTCCAATGCAAGCGCGGCGACGGCAACGGCAACGGCGAACAGGTGCCGGAGCGCCATCGGAGCGGCTAGCCGGAGTAGGAAGAGTGTAGTGAAGCTGTCTGACAAGGCCGGGAGTGAACTGACAGCACCGTAG